TTAATGCACTGTAAGCCAAACTTTTCAATTTAATGCTTACAAAAGTTAACATACTGGAATTATAAAACAGTTTTTCAGTATTTGAGACAGCAGCCCCAAAAAAAGAAAAAGTGGTCATCGAATTTCAATGTGGTCCTGAAACAGCTATATTTTTTTACTTTAATCTATTTATCTAAATATACAATTACGCATACGCCTCGTGAGTCGGTGACAGTAATTTTCATTTGTGCCAATTGGCCAAACGCCATGTGATAAGTGCAATGAATGAGATCGCTTAGCGGCGCCAGAAACTATGCATCATTTTTATGTCTTATGCTGTGAGGCATCGAATTTAAGGGCGCAATAAAAAAGCCGCCAATGGGCGAGTAATGCGCTGTCATTTCCGAGACGACTTGTCACTGCTCATCATAAAATGCTATCTACATTAATTGACAGACTGGCAGATTGAGATGTTGTTGTTGCTGCCGACTGGCTTTGATTTTTTTTTTTTTTTTTTTTGTATCCTCACGCGAAAATGCCATTAAATTGATGGGTCCGCCGCTCTTTCACGAGTGCCCACCAAATTCACAGTTGACAAAAACAATTAAAAAACGTTGTAAAAATGTTATGTGCAGGTCGCTGGTAGGCCGATGCTGATGCCGTTGTGGTTGTTGTGAACGCTCCCGATAAAAGCAAACGACACTTAAACGTGTCAACAATGGCAACGACAAGCGCAGCCCATGAATTGACGAACCCAACAAAGCGTCGCATCGCATCGGGCAGAGGGAGCGGGTTGTGTGGCTTCGACCGATGGGCCAGATTTTCAGCAATCAGTTTTATGTTGTTCAAGTGGCAAGCGCTCATTGTGATTGGCCTGACAGTTACCCCATCACTCGCCGACCACCGCCTAACGCCCACCGCCCACCGCTCCTCGCCTGCCCACTCCCACATACCACACAGTTTTGCAATTAATTTCTGGCCAAACCAGCAAACGCTTTTTTCTGTTCTTGTCGTTGTTGTTGTTGGTTGTTGCCGTTGCCGTTGCCGTTGCTGTGGTTGCCATAAAAGTTAGATAAATTGTACGAGCATAGACAAAACTTTCGATCACGCAGCTACGCACGCTATTTATATTTGGGATGGGGCCAGTCGAAGTGGTACGTGGGGGGCGGGGGGAGAGTGTGGGTGTGGGTGTGAGTGGGAGTGTCGCGACTCTTGTCAGATTTTGAAGTGCCAGCAAGTGCAGGCAACCGAACCAAGCCAAGTGGAGCGACTGCCGATTATTTATAGTTGAGAAAGTTTTGTCATTTACGTTTGAAAATTTAAATTTTAATTGAGTTTTCTTACTGATACGCTCCTCTCGTCCGCTACTTTCCTGCTACTGCTCCATGTGCCCCGGTGTTAGAGGTGGTCGCTCTTTCGGGTTAAAATCAAAAAGTCGAGCAACTAACCGGGTGGCCATTGGCCCCACTATCCTATATATGTTACCCACTGAGCCACACAGACGCGTTATTCCAGGTGTTTGCTTCAACTTCACTACATCTGAGTGCGATAAAAGCAAAGTTGTCGAAATTGTTTTGTAAACTTTCCACATACCCTTTAGTTTTCCAGTAGCTGGCGAGGCTTGAAAGACCGTCATCAGGATTAAATTTCTCTTTTAGCTGCGTACTTATAATAATGAATATAATTGTGATACATTTATGATTTAAGTTCAGTTATTGATCTCACAGAAATATTATAATAATTTATAAAATTATGATACATTTATGATTTAAATTCAGTTGTTGATCTCACAGAAATATTTAGTTTGGCCAATAACCGCCTTTTTTACAATCTATCAGAAGTTGATATCAATATTTTGAGCATATTGTAATATTCATTTTAACATGACAACATTCAATTAATTCATACGAACAAAACATGATTGAAATGAGTATTCTACATTCAATCAACTCCGTACACATTTGTTGACTTTTTGGTGGCGACTGCATACAAAAATTGTTTTGTTTTTATTTTATTTTGATTTTTTTTTTCATTAGTTTTCCTTGTTTTGCAAAACCACAGTGAAAAAATAATAGAAAAATAAGTGAGACCATTGCAGTCAGGCATAACTGACTGCGAAATACTCTGGTGCCCTATTGAGAATTTTGGGAGAGCGGGGCCGACAAAAAATATTAGTGGAGGTTCCTAGTAAAATACCTACCAAATATGGGCATTTGGGATGTTTTTTATGTTCCAAGTTTCAAGTCTCTATATCTAAGGGTGTCGAAAAAAGTTGACTTCATGACGGACATTGCACAACGAATATACTATGATACCTTCGGTATCAGAGTATAAAAATCGAAACGTAAAATCAAAGTTTGGCTTGCAAACAATCAGATTTGTTGTTTGTTATTGTGCCGCAAAGCCCGTTCTGTTGTTGTAATATTGATTACCCTGTTATATGGGCAACAATAATATATGCAGAGCTATGGATCATTTAGAGCAGCACAACTAAAACACAGATAGATGACTAATGTAAAAAAAACAAAAATCAAAATTATAGCACAAAAACAGCAGTTTCGAATGGAGCCTTTAAAAAAGGGTAATAACAAAAAAGATGGCAGTAAAACAGCTAATAGACTAGATTAAATTTGCTTGTGACAAAATAGCAGCAGGCGCATATTTTGGTCATTAAACTGATTCCTGAGCCGTTGTTGTTGCTGTTGTCGTTGTCGTTGTCGTTGTCGTTTTTGCTGTTGTTTCTTTCAGTTAATGGTAAACTGAGGAAAATTGCTGATGTGGCCAAATATTTCTGTGGAGATCCAAAAGAACCTCAAAGCCAAACGACGGCCAGTGACCGTAAGCCATAAAACACACGCGGCTCAATGGCAGCCCGAATGACAAAGTTCATGTATCATTAAGGCATTTTCAGGACACAGTGGACACTAACAATAACAAGAGTAACAGCCATGACAAAAACAGCAACAGCTACAAAATACAGCCCAAAGTCCAACGGTCCACGTTTCAATGGGAGTTAGAATATAGGATGTTATCCAAGTACCCAGCATCCAATTTCTGTGTATTGAAAACTGGCATAAATGAAAACTGTTTTGACAAAAACAAAACAATTGTCCTAAATCTGTTACTCTTAGTTATTTATAGTTACAGTTAGGTTTCTACACCTATCATTATTTTAAGCATGTTTAATTTCTCACAACTTAGTAAGTTTATTATTAAATTGATTAATAAATGTAACCTGAAATACCTGAATTTAATAGTTTTTAAGTAAATAATAAAAATACAATAATTAAAGCCAATTTTACAAGTGACCTTATTTTTAACTTCTTTTTATGCGATCTCAAGCTCGCCAAAAACAAATTAATACAAATATGAATATTATACAAACTATTTAAAAATATGCTTTGAACAATATTTTTTAAATAAAAAATAGAAGTCACCAAATAATAAACATTTATAATAAGAAGACAAATTGTAATATCCGTAGCTAAAGTGAAACTTAAGATCAAAATATATTAAATCAATTGATATTTTTAATTATGATTGAAAATTAGTTAAATATTAATTTTTGATAATTAAAAACCACTGTATAGTAATTGCTCTGTATCCATTAAACTGACACAAAGAAAACGCAATATCCCAAAAGCCTTAATAATTACTAAATTTGTGCATACAGCAGAAATTGCTGCATGCCATTGTCGGAGGCACAAGCGTTTACAGAAGGTGTCCTGTGGGCTGTGGTTGTTGCCATTGCTGCGGCTGTTTCTGTTGAAGTTGATGTTGCAGTTGTTATTGGTGTTAATGTTGCAGTTGCTGCTGCTGCTGCTGCTGTTGCAACTACTAGTGTCATCAGTCGCAACACATTACTGGTTGAGCACAGCTAGAAATATGTGAGTGTGCAACACTATTGCTGTGGCGAAATCAAACCACAGAAACAACTCAAAATCGCAATATGACACATATGCAAATGGTAGACAACCAAATGGCAAACCAAAAACCAAAACCCAAAAACCCAAAACCCAAAAACTGAGCATTGCCAACACTGCTGCAATGGTAAACATGCAAAATGCTGTTGAAAGGTGTACATAAGTGTGTGTGTGTGTGTGGGTGTGTGTGTATGTGTGTGTGTGGGTGTGCTGTAGATCTGTCCCGGCTGCATGTTAACGTACATTTGAACGAATGTTGACAATTACGAAAAATTTGGTTTTTGCAGCAGAGTGCGAGTTTTTTCTTTGGTTTGTGTGGATACAAATGTGAGTGTGTGTGCGTGTGTTTGTGTGTGTATGTGAGTCTATCTGCTTTTTTCGTAGTGCCAAACTTTTGTTTGCATGGACATTTTTTTTCGGGGCTGTGGCTCGTGCAAAAGTGGGAGAGAGCCCAAAACAGAGCGATTGAAGTTATAATGGAGTCGTCGCTGGATTAACAACTCAAGAGAGCATATCCATAGAGAGAGATGGAGAGCAAGAGGCAGAAAGAGGGAGATTGTTTCTCTAGGGCTTGGCTTGGGCAACAAGATATGTAAGCTTACATGAAAGCACAGCCAGCACACAAACACAGAAGCAGCCAGGCAGCCTTTGACAGCCTCTCTCGCTCTCTCTCGCTCTCTCGCTCTCACTCTCAATAACAGGGTGAACTGCATTGCGCAGACGCTGCGCAGCATCTGCGCGACGCTGGCGACAAAGCGACAAAATAGTAGACGCTACGACGGATGCTGCGGCTGCAGCTACTGTTTGCGTTGCGGCTGCTGCTGCTGCTGCTGCTGCCGCCTGATTGAGAGGGCCATGGCTGGCTACAAAAACAAAACGCACGTCAGTACGAATCCTGTGAATATCTATGCAGGACAGCACGGAGCGAACTGCGTGAGGCAGCCCAGCCACAAGTGAAAATTAAATAGAATTTACCCCAACAAAAAATATACTAAAATAGCAAGTGAAAATTTAAGCAAAAAAAAATATTAAATAATTAATAATCTATTCAAATTAAATCGAAAATATGTTAAAATTTGAAAATTAGCTAAGTTGACATACAATTTTAATTTGACACACAAACAAAATCAGCTGCGTTTGCTCCAGCTCAGAGCTAGGCAGAACAACAACAATAACAAGGACAAGAACAGCTCTGCTTTGGTCCAGCTGCTCAGCTGCTGTCACAGTCGCTGCCAACGGCGACAGAGCAGTCGCTGCCGCTTTCTTTGTGTCAGAGTGCCTCGATTGCGTCGGCGCTGACGCTGCGCAGCTGTCCGCCAAGTGTAGACTTATTGGCGTATCTAATTTTTAGATCCTTCTCACTAGACCAAAAGCAGAACACACAAAAAAGAGGAGAGAAAAAAGTTTGCTCGCCCGCTCGCAACTACGTCACGCACGCCACGCCACGCAGAGCCGAAAGGTAAACAAAAACCTGTGCGCGTGTTTTTAGTATCAATAAAAGACCGGCCAAGCGACTTCAAGGCTGAACTGAACCGAACCGAACTGAACTGAACTGAATTGAGCCGCCCAGTGACGTCATGTGGCGCTCGACTCGCGCTCCACGTCCACGTCTGGCACTGCTGCTGGACTGTAAGCTGCTCTGCCTGCTGCTGGCCGTCCTCCTGCTCTTCTGCGAAACGGTTCAAGCGAATCCGGACGCCAAGCGACTCTACGATGATCTCCTCAGCAACTACAATCGCCTCATACGACCCGTTAGCAACAACACGGACACGGTGCTTGTCAAGCTTGGTCTGCGCCTGTCGCAGCTCATCGATTTGGTGAGTCAATGCGTTGATGTGAGAGCTGCCCCCAGACTCAAAGCACTCTCAAAATAATTAATGCAATTGCTAAACTTGGACGGAGAAACACACACACACACACATTAGTACATAGGCTAGCTCTGCGGCACATGTCTTGATTTCATTTCTTATTTTTTTTATTAATTTTTTTTTTTAATTAAGCGCTTCAATGGAGCACTCGAGCAACGAGCAACGTTGCGCTACATTTGCCAGGGCCATTTTATAGAGTGGAGCGAAGCAAAATGTAAACAGCCAAACAGTTACTGCACCAACTTTTGGGTCGTAAATCGAAAAATGCCAAACATAAATGACAGCAAATGAGGCGAGCACAGCTGAGCCAACAGCAATATTGAAAAGTACTCGAAATTGGCTGACAGCTGCCATATTGAGTTTGTCTGACCGCTCGAAGCAATTTTTGTTTTCCGTTTGCACGTGCAGCTAATTACTTAATTGATTTGTTAAAAGCTTTTCAATTATTTTAGTTAACAAGAATATGAAAACCACTTTGCATTGGTTAATAAATTTATCTTTTCTGAATTATAACAACAATAGACTTTTTTTTGGTCTCTGATTAGTCGGCATTTTTATGCCTGTTCGAATTTCGAGAGACGAACTTAATTATATAAATATAAAGTTCTACAAGAATTTAATAGAGATAAAAAATGTTAAACTATGAAACATTATTAAAAAATATTGTATGAATATATTAATAATTAATAATTACTAGTTTAGTCCGAATTTTATTGTTTTATAATATTTCTTAAGTTTTTGGAAAATATGATTTAGAATTTAATAATTATACCTACACCAATTCCTCATCAATTAAAAACAAATAATAATAAATTAAAGTTTAAGTTTGTTATTGATTCAGTTTATGCTATAGATTATTTTAGTTTTATCAAATTCTGGCTAGAAGAATGATTAGGTTGGGTAAGCTTATTGCTGTTTTCGGTGAAGTGTGGCAAGATATCTACATCCCACCAAACCCACTTGAGGCAAGTTTGGCTCATCGTGATAGCGCATGAATGAATAAGTTATTGAGCATCTTTGGACAGAACAGTTTCGCATATCAAAAATGTTTAAATTCAGTAAGAATACCCCAGCTAAGATTATTAATAATTGATTTAACGGGACTATATTTAAAGAGACAATAAATCTGCTGTTGCTGTGCCTATTTTTTCATAAAGACCGTAAGAATTTTCTTTATTTTATTTTTGCATGGAGAAAATGATTCGTGCTATGAAATAATGCACATTTCTCTACAGACTGACACTCAATTTATATAACATTTCAGCAGAATTTCATTTTATTTGCGCAAAAGTAAACCATTGCATAGTTTTTGGTACGCCAGTTTTAAAGTTCATGGCGCAGCATTTGTCAAATGGCCTGTGCAGCCAGAGCAAGAGCATAAGCCTGAGGAGGACAAGGAGCAGGAGCAGGATAGATAGCAGGAGGATAGAGCGCACTCTGCAATTACAGCAGCATACAGTGCGACGATAGGTTGGAGAGTGCGAGGGATGACAAAGGGGGAGTGGAGTGAAGGCAGCAGAAAGTGCCGTTACCACGAGGCTTAAAAGGTAATAAAACAAGCCAAAAATCCAAAAACCGTAAGCTGACAGCAAAAAGCACATTAGCGGCAGCGCAGAGAGTCTAGAGACAGACGATGGGAAGTTGGCTGTAAGGGGAATGAGGGATGTGTGGCATGCAAGCAGACAACCCGGCAAACAAACAGACAGACCCAGGGGCAAGGCAGGGAAACAGAAGTAGCAGCAGCAGCAGCCGCAATTGTAGCAAAGTGTGGCAACAAAAAAAATGCAAATTCCATTTGATGCATGGGAGCGAGTCATTGAGGTAGAGAGTCGCGTATGCAGTCGTTTTTTAAATTTAATTTTCACTTGTATTATCTCTGCCACAGAATCTCAAAGATCAAATTCTAACGACAAACGTGTGGCTGGAGCATGAATGGCAGGATCATAAATTTAAATGGGATCCATCCGAATACGGTGGTGTTACGGAACTCTATGTGCCCTCGGAGCACATCTGGCTGCCCGACATTGTGCTCTATAACAAGTGAGTGCTTTAAGCGCAATTTGCCAAATTGCAATTTTCATTATGCATTGGTTGCAGTGCTGATGGCGAATACGTGGTCACAACGATGACGAAGGCCATACTGCATTATACGGGCAAGGTTGTCTGGACACCGCCGGCAATTTTCAAGTCGTCCTGCGAGATTGATGTGCGCTACTTTCCCTTCGATCAGCAGACATGCTTCATGAAGTTTGGCTCCTGGACCTACGATGGCGATCAGGTATGTCCACCCCTAAATACATTCACTCTCCCACAGTTCTGTGTGTGTGTGTGTCTGTGTCTGAGTGTGAGTGCGCAACGGGGCGTGTCATTGGATTTATGGCGAACCATTTATCTGAGCGCTGAGCGCACGCTTACATGCCTAAGAAGCCGTGCGAACATCGAAAGGGCGTCGGCTGCTCTGCAGATTAAAATGTGAGAAATTGTAAAAGTGTAATTGAAACTTGTCTAACCGTTACCGTTACGCACACCCAACTCAAATTGCTGAGATGAATATAGAAAGAAAAAAAAAAACAAACAAAAAAATCACTCTTCCAACGAGAAAGTCGACTGGGTGTCGCTGTCATAAAAATGCGCGGCTATAAATTAAAACAAAGTGCGACTCCCCACAAACGATGCCTTTTCCGCATCCGCTGACCGGACACCGCACAGTGGTCCTGACTAAGCAATAATAATACTAAAAAAGAGACATTGCGCTTACAATATCATTTCCATACAACCGAGAAATTTTTAAGAGCATATATATTTAAAAGTATTACAGCAGAACTGACTACGAATTCAATAATGCCTAAAGTAAATCAATGCAATGTGTAATTGATATATTTTTCTTTTATTTATTCTATTATATTATTTTTAAATGTTTATTTCAATTTGAGTTTCAAATGATATTCGACTTAGACTGCCCTTCAATTATAAATATGTTTTTTGTGTCAATTTAATTTAAAATTTGTATTTATTAAAGATTTATTTTTAACGTTTTGACATGTTCTAATTCAAATCAAATAAATAAAAAAAATTGTAGCTGCGTACTGGCGTTTTTGCCGTCAGGACCCGTTCCGTTTCTATATAAATCGTATTTGCCTCACTGTGCACTGTAGATGTTCTCAGCGCATTTAAATGTTCTACTCTTTAACGACTGCACTTGAGCCTCAACTTGAAGCAGCCCAAGGCGGAGACAAAGATGTCGCCTGCAGGCGGCTAAAACGACGCCGTTGACGGTGACAGTGACGACAAGAGAACGACTTGGACGTGGCTGATGAGCATCACGCCCGTGTGCTTGAAGTGCCTTAAAGCTTAATGGCTTTTATGGCTCTTTCAGCTGTTCTCTCTCTCTCTCTCTCTCTCTCTATCCCTCTATCTCTCTGTTTGCAGATCGACTTAAAGCACATCAACCAGAAGAACGACAAGGACAATAAAGTGGAGATTGGCATTGATTTGCGCGAGTACTATCCGAGTGTTGAGTGGGACATATTGGGCGTGCCTGCTGAGCGCCATGAAAAATATTATCCCTGCTGTGCGGAACCGTATCCGGGTGAGTTTCGTAGGGTTTAAAGCAACAAAACTTTGCTCGCCGACACGCGTACGCGAAAGCTCTACCCAAACTCACTATGGAAACCCGTATCCCAACCCCCCAAATAATCCAACCAATATCCCAATCCTGGCCTGTTCGTTCTCGTGTTCTTTGCTTTTCTCTTCTGCTCTTTCTTGCCTGCTGCGATTGCTGCTTGTTTTGCTAAAATGTTTAGACATATTCTTCAATATTACGCTGAGACGAAAGACACTCTTCTACACGGTAAATCTGATTATACCATGCGTCGGCATCTCCTACCTCTCGGTGCTGGTCTTCTATCTGCCGGCCGACTCGGGCGAGAAGATTGCGCTCTGCATTAGCATATTGCTGTCGCAAACTATGTTCTTTTTGCTCATATCGGAAATCATACCGTCGACATCGTTGGCTCTTCCGCTGCTGGGCAAATATCTGCTGTTCACCATGTTGCTCGTTGGGCTGAGTGTCGTCATTACCATCATTATACTCAACATACATTATCGCAAGCCCAGCACGCACAAGATGCGTCCCTGGATACGCGCCTTCTTCATCAAGCGGCTGCCCAAGCTGCTGCTAATGCGTGTACCGAAGGATTTATTGCGAGACCTAGCTGCCAATAAGATCAACTACGGATTGAAGTTTAGTAAGACAAAGTTCGGCCAGGCCCTAATGGATGAAATGCAAATGAACTCGGGCGGCTCCAGCCCAGATTCCATACGTCGCATGCAAGGACGTGTCGGTGTCGGCGGTTGTAACGGCATGCATGTGACAACAGCGACCAATAGGTAAGTTTTTACCTACGAGGGTAGCTCACAAAATGAATAGAACATATTATGATTAAAAAGAAGTGATTCCTCGTGTTTGTTATTCATGAAACTAATTACTTTATTAGTGAAAATCTCTTATTGGCTGAATTTTAGAGAGATTATTTATAAGAAGGGCTTGTATATCTATATTTATCTTTAGAAAAGAAATAACAAACAAAAAAATAGACTGTCTGAGGCAAGTTTCCTTAAGATTAGGATTCCGATTAAAACTCAGACAGTTTGGCTTAAAGAGTCCAAGACGTCTCACTCAAGACGTTACAAACAAAACAACGAAAAATACGTTTTTGGTCTTCTGGGCCGATTTGAATTTTAGAAGAATTTTTTTAATTTAGTATGAGTTGACAAAGAAAAATGTAACGCTTGAGAGGATCTAATAACCATTCACGGAATGAAGAAATATAAGAACAAAATGATTCAGAAAATAACTTAATTATAATGAATAAACAACCCAAAAGGAACGCAGAACAGAAAATTAGAAGTTGAATGTCCTGAATTCAAGGAAGGCTTGAGTTTTCGCAGGTTTAATGTTTGAGCAGTCTTGGTTTGATTTCGGTTCCCTCACAGAAACGTCTGTGTAAACGTAGGCAAACTGTGGTTCTATAATCATCAACCTTCTGTTGCAGATTCAGTGGTTTGGTGGGCGCTTTGGGCGGCGGCCTGAGCACACTGAGCGGCTACAATGGGCTGCCATCGGTGCTTTCCGGCCTGGATGACTCCATGAGCGATGTGGCAACACGCAAAAAGTATCCGTTTGAGCTGGAGAAGGCCATACACAACGTCATGTTCATACAACACCATATGCAGCGGCAGGACGAGTTCAATGCGGTGAGTGCCGACTGCAGCTGATTGAATTTTTAATTGAAAATTCCGTTTGGCCGGACGAACGACGATAACGACAACTGTAACAACTACAAACACGACAGTGATGACAGTGACAGCGAACTACTGGTGATGGAAGTGAAGCTGCAGCAAAAGCTGAAGCTAAAGTTGCACATGACTTAACCATTGCCCAATAACCACAAAAATCGTTTTCGCGTTTGTTCCTGCTATTTTTAGTGGTTGCCACACTCAGAAAAATACACTCAGAAATCTTCTCATAAAATTTTTCAGGTTTCCTAACGATTTAGAAATAATTTTCTTAAATACGTTAACGGATTGAATTTCTATTTTTTTTTTTTAATTATATTTCATAAGAAAGATTTCTAAAAATCCAAAAAATAATAAAATATGCATATATATTCTTCATATTATCGATTCAGGTCTGTTTTAATTTAAGTGTCTTTTTCCCAATTTAAATTCGCTTTTTTCTGAGTGTACTGTTTAACTAGCCAGACAAACAGCATTCAGCATGCTATCTCTGTCTCTGTCTCCCTCTTTGTTATTTGCTATCTTTTGTCGACTTTATTTAAGCATTGGCATATTTGCACTTTAAGACCACACAAAATCCACTTTTAATTGCTTTTGTTCAATTGACTGGCAAACGGCTTCAACAATTCGATTCAATCAAATCCAACACCCAACGCTTTGTTCTCTGTTTCTGCCACTTGTTTTCAGACCGTATTTTTGTTTCTTTTTTTTGTTGTTGGTGTTAATTTTGCTTTTACTTTGTTATTGGAAGCTTCATTTTGATTGATAGCCATCGAGCGCCGGGTATAAGCAGATTAAGCGCCAGTGCTTAATGAAAGTAATCGCTCAAAGTGTGGGCTTAAAGCGTAGTGTAGTTAGCCAATACTGCACATACGCCCCTTTGTGCAATTTATATTCCCAAATGTCTTTATCGTTCTCCTATTTAAGTAAAATAAAAATTCTATATAAATTTTTCTAATTGGTTTAAAATTCTTTGTGTATTATTCAATAACAGGAGGATCAGGACTGGGGCTTTGTTGCCATGGTCATGGATCGCCTATTCCTCTGGCTATTCATGATTGCGTCGCTGGTGGGCACATTTGTCATATTGGGCGAGGCACCATCGCTGTACGATGACACCAAGGCCATCGATGTGCAGCTCTCTGACGTTGCCAAGCAAATCTACAATCTAACTGAGAAGAAGAATTAAATTCAATAATATAATCATAAATACATTCCAGAATGGTTAACACTATCTATTGTCATGTAATGCCTGCAAAATGCATGCCCTAGCTTAAAGTACATATTAAAGAAATTAATACAAATAAAAAAAATTGTTGGCAAAAAGCAGCCATGCAAAATGCTAAAATGCAGCTGTGGTTGTCGGCTTCGAGTTTGCAGCTAGTTCTCTTGAATGCATACCAAAAATGTTTTTAATAATGCAAAAATAAATTTGTATTCACAATTCACCACCCTTACCCACTTTTAGAGAACCATTGAAGCTTATCCCAAATAGTCAGCTGAGTATGAACTCATCTGTAGACCCATTTAAGTTTCACAACATTTAACTCACGTACTTTCAGCTGATGAAAGCAACTGCTTTTGTGGAACTATACGCTGCAACATACAAATATTTCAGAAAGAAAAAAACAAAATTGTGTAACAAAAATAATGGTAACACCCAACTGGCTGCCAGTTGTTTTAGTCATTTCGTTCACTTTCACTCTTATTGTTATTGTTGTTGCCGCCGTGACTATTCAAAGACTTCGACTGGCATTTGGGTGGCTAGGTTCTGCTTTTCATTTGATAACTGGAAAATTAACCCTTTTGAAAATGAGCATTAGCGACGCCAACTCATGTGGAAATAGCAAGAAAGGCTACTGGAAAAGCCAAAGACGGCAAAAAAAAACAACAACACCAACTCAGCCTTGATAGTGTCTCACAAGGCCAGGCAACGGCTTTACGAAATGTTGTTCACGTCAAAATTGATTAGAGTGCGGTCCTTTTGTACGTAGTATACAGTTTACAGAATTCGAATCATTTTAAATATTGAATTTGTTGTTGAAGCTGCAAATAGATCTTTCTAATAAAATTACTCAAAAAAAATAATTTGTCTGCTATAATGTATATGTATAATTGTCAATCTATTTTTAATATAGACTTTTAAAAATTCTTTTATCCAGCAATAATCGGAGTCAAAAATGTTATAAAACTTTCTGCTAAGGCCAGATCTATACTAACTAACCGATTTCAATCTCTGTGATTTGGATCAATCGCTTATTACATGTCATCGCTAGTAAGGTTATGCTTTATTTTCTTATTTTAATACATAAATATTATATTTAAAAAAATATCTACGCACCTCACTGTAAGAGTCCTCGCAGTTTAAGTGGATTAAGTATAGCAATAAAGAGTATAACACAGTCGGATACATTTGACTGCAAAGTTGTAGTGTTTCTGTCCGAAAACTTTAACATTACAACTCAGTGCACTTCCTAATGTTCCTTCCATATCAAAAAAATACCGCAAAACGAGAATTAATCAAGCTAAGCTTTGTGCTCGATTATTTAATTATTTTATTTAAGCAGCAAACGGATGCTTTGAAGTACATTTTTAGAAACTCTTGAGATCTTGAGCATTTGCATTGCTGCATTGCCTCAGAGCCGACCCCTTAAAATATGCAGCAATCAAAAAATATCTGCACAACTATTTGCAAGAACTGCAAAACTATTTCTATACAAGTGTCACAATTTCTTTCTTTCGTTTTCTATGAATGTCATTCAAATTGATGCACAGCGATTGGCAAGCCATGCCTGACTGATGCTCGGGGCTGGCTCGCGGATGTTGCAGGGGCAGAGGTATGTCACCCAATAACTATTTTGCAATACCAGGAACCGCTGGCTGCCTGTCAATGTCAGCTAGCGAGCAGCAAAGGCAATATCTAGCAGAGCACAAAACGTATAAAGCAACCACTCTCACTTGGCTCAACAAGTACTTATCTTAAGAAAATACGAATACATTTACGAACGTGAGTGCGTGTACTAACTGTGTATGCACATATATTTTGCATTCATTTGCCACTATCGGCAATCACTTTACGCACACGCTTGCTCCAATCCATTCATTCATTCATTCAACGCCGTCTCGTCTTCCTTTTTTTGTGTTGTGAACTCAGTTCTGCTACCATGACATGTTGACAAGTTCAACATGATGCGAGACTCGCATTCTCCACCAGCCTTCTAACTGACTAACCTCCTATCCGACTCCCCGACTGACTGACTTTTGTCACATGTGTGCGTATTTGTTGCTGCTTCCCGTGTTCTTTTCACAGTTCAGCGAACAGCATCGCTTAATATTTTTCTTTCTGGCTTCAATTTAAATTCATATTATTTGTGCTGCAAATATGCACATTTGATCTCTTATAAAAAATACAATTTTTGAGTATAACGTGCATTAGTGCAGAAACAAGGCATTCCTTGGCTGTACTGCCGTCGTAAATGTGATAGTATTGTACCTGGTGTTACAATATCCAGAAACTAAGTAATACGTAAAATTCCAATACATAAGAAAACGATTAGTTTTTGCGAAACCACATTCAATTTATGACTACTTTTTTGATTCATTTTATGTTTGAGAAACTTGCTTACGATACATATTACCAATTGATATCACAACTTCCAAATTAGCTCTTTAGCAATTTCATGATGTATTTGTACTGTACACAATCCGCCTTGACTAGAATACTTACATCAGTTTTAGAGTCTATTCCATAAATACAATTTTGTGTGCAGTTTGAAAAACAAAAGTCTGTGCTTAATTGCATATCAAATATCATATATTATGATTGAGTCTCCTAATGATACTATAGAGAAAAACATAAGTGCGACAACACTGGCGTTTATTGTATCTTTTTGTATAGATTTTACGTATTTCACAGCTTATATTCCTATAAGACGCTTACCACGAAGAAATATTTATGGATTTTTTACAACTTTTCCGCCCAAGAAAGACTTTTACTGACTGACAAACTGCCAATAAAAATTGTGATTCACATTTTGTGTAGAGCATACATATACATATGCTACAATGTGCACTGCGTCGTAAATGTTCTTCCAAGTTCATTTTATGCACGTTTTTTTATATATATTTATATTTGTATATTGTATTAATTTCGTTTTAGTGCGATTTGAGGTTAACATTTTTAGTTTTTTTGCTGGCTGTAATTCATTGCATACATTCTAGAATACAATTTTATTTCGCTCTGACGGCAAAAGTTTACAATTCGTTCTATTCGCCATTTATTTAAGTCGCACTCCAAATTCAATTTGACTTCGAAATGCAAATTATTGTATAGACCGTAACTTACCCCCTCAATAAGAGTGGCAAAAATGATTGCAGAATTGTGTACGACGCATTCAACAGTTTTAATGCAATTTGTGCAACGGTCACTGGTCCAGTTGACAGTTGGCAGTTCCAAGCAGCTACTGTTTAGTAGAAGACTTGGGAAAACCGTAATGTCATTAGCATTGCCTTGCAACTGAAAGCTGACTGGGAGACTTTTAGGTTGACGTTACTGCAGGAGTAGACACGCCCATTCGCAGCCCACACGATTAGGGCGCGCGTGTCACTTGTCTAATTTTATCACAAAAACAATTTGTCGTGCTGTTGGCTAGGCGAGAAGTTTTTCCTGACAGCATTTTCCGTCTTTTGGCAAATTTTCAACGATTAATAACAGCCAAAGAAGATTGCAGAAACTGATGGCATTTACTGCATCCGCCGCGTTGGCCAAGTTAAAACTTTAACTGAATTCTGTGACATGTCAAAACTTTGAGGCTGTCATTTATTTATGAATTGTTCGCTCGTAAAGTTGTTGACACACTGACGCGCACGCACACGAACACACACGCACACATACAGATCACATCCAATTAGCATATTAAATTAAATAAATATTAAACTAACTGCTGTTGCCCTCCAGCCAACACACACACACACACACACACACACACAGATATACACATTACGTATACGACTTGCAGTCCGGCGCTGTCAATACGTAAAGTGATCAACCACACACAAAGCCACACACTCGAACAGAGACTGTCATGCAGTTAGTCATTCACTCATCAAATATCAAACCCTGTCCCTCCTTCACTCCCTTAGTCTGTCTCTGTGGATTACCTGACAGCGGCTTTTACGAGTCCTGGCTCAGCCCATCGCCCTGCACTGCTCATAATTTATGCCACTCATCTTAATAATTTTGGGCGCAAAAACTTTTCCAACATGCATCGACATCGGCAGAAGCAGCTCAAATATTTTAAACGTTTACTTAGCCAGCAGCAAAGCTACGCATAAGACGAGCTTGGCATTTCAGATGTCCTTCGTTGTGATACCATAGAAAATGATGGTTTATTTCACTGTATGTGAATAATAATAATAAATAAAATTCGTATTGAAAAGTGTAAAAAAAATTTCTTAAATATGTTATTTGAATTTAAATGAATTGTGGATTAAGGAAAGGTCAAGCATATATTTAAATTTAAATAATATATACATAAATAAAGTACAATCAGGCCATAAATATTAATTGTATATTTAAGAGTGAGAGAAAATACAACAAAAAATGAATACAAGATTCTACAACTAATTAAAAAGATTCATTTTGTCTTCTCTTGTGAAACCTCTTCTCGAGCCAATTGAGTGCATCCCTGGCAATGTTACCTTCGCCTTGGCATATTTCAACAACATCGTCGTCGTTACCAATCTTGTCATAAAGAGTCACACACACTCACACACACAACAAACTCACATATTTGCAAACACACACATAGCTGAAGTGCCCCATGCGGCGGTTTTGCTGTTTGCTTTAGTGCCAATGTAGCATAGTTTTATGCATATCCTAGTAGTCCTGTGCGCAACGTTTTTGGTATGGCATAACTTTCTACTACAGCGCACGAAAATGTTGCGGCCGCTGGCTGCTCCAAGCAAAATTTGCTTTGCTCTACTTGACTTGCTTCTCTGTTTTTTTGCTCCTCTTTTTTTTAGTTTTTAGCCCAGCTGTCGTTGGTGGTGCTGCCTTGGCTCAGCTGAACGCCCTAAAATGGTAAGCATATTTGCGTACGTACGTATATATATGTGTGTGCTGTGCTACACTACCTACACTACACATTATTCATTCATGTTGGACATTCACTTGAAAATTGACTTATGTGGTCTACACACACACACACACACGCACACAAACACACACACACCTACATATAAACATCTCCCGCATAAGCTTTCACGAAGGAAGACAGAGACATCCTGGCACAGACATCCTGACTGACAGAATTTTGCGGTAATGTGCATTAAAAATTAC